AGCCTATTGTATTGTTTGGCTGAAAGTGTGAGAGTGAGTGAAGTGTGAGTCTCTGTTCAGTTGTATTGTTTGCAAGTTTATAAAATAAATCTGGGTTGTTACAGGTTAGACTTTAGAGGGGAGAGCTGTAGCAAGGCAGAGGAGGCCTGCTGAGAGTATAGGTGGAGAAAAGGCTAGTTAGAGCCTCGGTTTATTTCTGTGTAACGTGTGAGATTCCAACGAATCGGGGCCCCATCGCTCGCTGAGGAAAGGATCACACGTACAAGAGAGAGAGAGAGAGAGAGAGAGAGAGAGAGAGAGAGAGAGAGAGAGAGAGAGAGAGAGAGAGAGAGAGAGAGAGAGAGGAGGGCGCCAGGTATAACAGCTGAGGAAGTTGATTGCAATTCTTTTGTTGGGCCTTCATATGGTTGCTACGATCAAAGTGGGGAAAATGTTTACTCCTTTCCTCTTTAGAGACAGTAGGAATATCCGAATTAATGCTTCTTAGGTGTATAGTCTGTTTGGTACATATCAGGGGAGGCTACCGTGAAATTTATCTGAACATGGTTAAACTGGAAACGGTGGTAAACCGTAAGAAAGTAAAATCCCTGAATTCCTTTCTTCTATTTGGACAACCTCTCTAAACTGAAAACCAGGCTAAACAGAAAATAAATCCAGCAGTCCAGCAGATTTAGATAGACTCCGTCGTTTTAAATGAACAATTTGGAGATTTGAGTCAGTGAGGTGATTTCTTGAGCAGAATACGATAACACTAAATCTAACCAAGCAAGAGGCCTCAAAGCTGGGGTGACCAGAGCTGGTGTGTTTCTCAAACTGACAATAATTGTGGTAGATCTATACAGTACAGTGGCGTCCAAAAGATATTTGAAAATGGTTTTCGTTCTTAGAGTTTCGCTTTTTCTAAAAATCGAAATATTCTGTATTGTCTCCTTAAAATTTTTCTTAAAAATTTGGTGAAGAAAACCATGTGGGACTGAAGCTGCACGCCCCACCTCACAGGATGTCACTGCTAGTGCTGCCCGTTTTGTTTTGCAGTTTGAATGTGTTGATGAACGCGGCTTTTGGCAGTTAAACTATACTTTTACCTTGCCTTTACATTCTGTTATTGGGTATCTTTATCTTTTCCTCCTCCACATCTGATTGACTTCTTTCTTACTACTTTATATTTAGATTATGGCGCCAGGTCCGTTTTGAATCATTTTATGTTCATAAGTATGGGTGAACTGTTCTTGACCCTTTTTAAAAAGTAAATCCTTTCTTTTCAACATCTGCGCATTCTTCCTAGGAAATTGGAGGGGGAGGGAGTTAATAGCTCATGAGACATCCTGGTGGACCACGGGGGGGGGGGGGGGGGATCAATATAAAATTAAATAAACAGTCTTGTTGCAATCATAACATAAGAGAAGAATATTCTGGACGGGTGGGAGATGGTGTGAGCAAGGACAATCATCATCATCATCCTGTGCTTTGCCGACTGGCGTGGGCGATCATGGACCTCCACTTCCATCTGTCTTTCGATGCAGCAATGGTGTCTGTTGTTCTTGCTGCTCCCAGCCATGTTGTCATCTTGTCCAGTATCTTTTCCCTCTGTCTGCCTCTGCCTCTCTTTCCATCAAATTTCCTGTTGTTACAATATTCTCTAATCCTTCTTTCCGCATTGTGTGTCCGAAGAAATTTGCCTGTCGTTTTCTTATATTCGTGATAAGTTGTTTTCTATCATTTGCAAGGACAACAAATTCTGAAATTTGAGATGTTTATGGCACATGTTTAATTTTTTCTTCGCTGTGAAAACAAATACATATACACACGTGTCAACACAAAGGTATTCAAAATAAAGCACAGGTACCTGGGATTAAATATATTTACATGTACGTACATAGGTTGTTCACCATTCCAAAATGATAAAATAAAATTCCTACGTGGAAGACAGCCAAACGAGAACTTAGCTGATATTGCTTCAATGCTGCTGTGTGAAAAGATAGAGGGAAAGAAGAGGAAGACTAAGAACAATATACACAGTGATGGCCAGAACAACTTTGCCACGAATAAAACAAACAGAAAAACGGAACTGATCAAGAAGACAGACAATAGGAAGGAAGGGGGTACCATGATCGTCAGTGTCTGCTCTAATTTTTTTGCTTCACTCTGAAGTGTTGAATAAAAAAAATTAAAAGTCTGTCGGTCTTTTCTCAGCAAATGATTTGCATATGTGTCTAATGACAGAAAATATGGGGTCATATGACGTATAATATAATATATTGTTTTGATTTTTTTTTACACATGTTATAAAAAACAGCATGCGTAAGGAGCAAGATTATTTTTTAAAATAAGTCTGAAGCATTTGCAAAATGTTATGTCCATGTAGATTTATGTCCACCTAATCCAGCAGGTCAAGATCTAAACCTCTACCCCCCTGCAAAGTAGATCATTTGATCCAATCACAAGTGCCATCAATTTTCATGATAATTCTAAGGTCCTTGATGCTAAAACAAAAAGTGTGATTTAAAAAAAACCTGTACAACAATAGTTTTTGATATATTATATGTACTTTTCAGCAGAATCAACTTACTTGGCTTACATGGGAAGAACAATATGCATCATTAACATATTATGATACCAAAATACTACTCACGTCACATATTCCTGGTCTTTGTCACCAACATAAACATAAAGGCAGAACAGAAATCTAAAAAAACTCACCTCTGTAATTACAGCTGGATTCCTTCTCTGGTAATGCAATAAGACCTCGTAAAAGAACTAAAAGTAGAACTAAAGGGGATGTGTCCAGCAATTCCGAAGATGAGGGGTTAAAAAGGTCAATCTAATTATTATGTTTAGGATCTTTGGCACAATTGCGTCTTATTCGTCGCTGCGAAGCGCGAAGGGAGCACGCACTCGTCCATAGATCATCATCATCACCATCATCATCACCATCATCATCACCATCATCATCAGTATCATCATCGACTAAACAATTCCCCTTTTTCTTGTTTCATTTTTCTAGATAACATAACAATTTGCACCATGCCCATACATTTTTACGAAACCTACAAATATCGGCACCAAAATCAGGACTTGGGATAAAAAATAAAAAAGATAAAGTCATGTGAGTTGTGCCTTTGAATGATTTTGTAGTTGAGTGGTGGAAGTTATTACTTGAGTGTTCAGTTCTAATGAAGGATGAACGAAATTGATCTTTAGCTAACAAACAAATTTAGTTCTAGAAATCAAAGTGACATGTAAAAAAAAAAAAAAAGAAATTAAAAGCGTGAGGTCCTCCCTCACCAACCCAAAACCCCTAAAAGTATAGGCCTACACCATCTCATTTATTGTGCCCATTATTATCTTCAGCCTGCGATAACTTAATTGTGCACGCACACTTTTTTAGCACAACGGGCCGCCCCTGGAAGGGGGGTAGGAAAAGATTAACAAATGCACATGATATTGACACAAAAACGTTCGAAATAAAGCACTGATATTCAAATTATATTTAGATTAGCACTTGTACTTATCACTATAAATGTATACAAACCGTGTACTGTATTTGGGTATTCTTTAAAAACACTACTGATAACTTCTTTGTTATATAATAATATAATAAACGTATATTGGTTCAAGCAAGAATGTTGTCCATTGTGTGCTGTTCAGAAGAGAATAGAGAAGTCACTCTTTTCTGCCATCTATTTCTCAGCGATTACGCAGTGTGCACATGAACGGAGGTGCCTGTCTAATGGCCCCCTTCAGGTTTTCTCTCGGGTCACAGGATGGTAGAGGGTTGTCCTCCGGAGGAAGGAGGTCAAATTTCTGGAGGATCATCACCGTGAACAGAAAGATACGGGACCTTGCAAACGCCTCACCAGGGCACATTCTGACCCCATGTCCAAAGGCCAGAACCCTGGGAAAATGAGTCAAAACAAAAATTTTTTTAGTTTACTTCAATTGAGTCTGTTTAAAAAATTGAAGCTGAACTCCCGACTATAAATGACTCTAGTAAATGACTCTGGTAATTTCGAAATAAGATATTGTTTGGCTCAATACCTTTCATATCCATTTCAGGACACATTTCTGTGAGGATTTGTACTAAAAACCATTCATCACAAGCACACAAAATGTAAATTTGCAGTTTCCAAGGACACTCAAACTTTGGGAGCCACCAAACTTTGGGAGCTTTTTTCAAGCCAATTTTCCTCTGACACCAGGCGATCCCCACCTCCTTCAATCGCAAGTGTTTCTCTTTCTATTCAAGATAGATGGGTATTATCTTTCCATTGAACTCAAAAAATGAAGAAGCTTTAACTTTATACCAGTAAAATCATGAGCGCCAGGTCCAGTGTATCGTGACGAGCATCGCCAGTGTAGGTTACTGTTTACCATTTATCGCACACATAAATGGACCTACTCTCTGTGTATAGGCCCAGTGAAAAAAATATAGGAAATGTATGTCTGAGGCGCAACCTTCAGTTGCTCGTGCCTTGCTGTATGTGTTAAGTCACAGAGGTCCTACACATAACCACTAGACGGCACGTACTGTGATTCGTTATGCCATTGGCAACGAGCTTTCTCACTTATTAAGACTAGCGCAGAACAGTGGGCAGTGTGATGATCTACTCTTTCATCTAGTTTGTGTGATTGTTTCTTTGTGGTAAATCATGCAAGCTGGCAGTCTCAAAGAGAAGGCACAATGCGTACTGTTTGCACCTCAAATTGCCGTTACTAACGTGGGTTGCCAGTACAAAGAGATGGGCACCACGAGGTCACAATTCGTGCTGGCAAACAGGCCCCATCCGATATTTTCACTTTTCAGTGAGCAGTCTAAGCCGTGTTTTTTTTTTTTTTTTTTTTGCACATGTGCGATTGAAAGGGCCCCCTTGTATCCACCACTGTTCAGCCCATGGCCGGCCTATGCCTAGCCAGGATGCAGCCCGCATGTTTTTGACGAGTTCACGTGGTCCCCATGCTCACCCCTCTCATTTTTATACACAAGACATCGTTCAAATCCCTCCTCCTTTAAACATCTCTAATCGTCTACTCTTATACGACCTGTCTGTGCTGTAAATGCCATAAAACGCTTACTTAATTTAAACATACCGACACTAAAAAAGGCAGATTAGAAAAAAAATGGTCAAACTGAAATTTGCCGGAAGCATGAAAGTCCATCCCCGACCCACCGCGTACACAGGTGGCGGGTAGTGGAACAGGCTATATTATGTAGGGTAGCTGCGAATAACCAATAAGCAGTCGCGGACCAACCGGCGACAGTCTTGGAGAGCGAGGTGGAACAGGGTGGTGGCAATCCTGTCTCTATAAAATACCTAATGTGCTCAGTAAAGAGACTGTCAGGCGAGAGGGAGGCGCCGAAACCTGCCACCTGCCCCTACTGCCCTGTGGGTTAGTCCTTTTGGACAAAGGCTAGCGGAGTAAACCGTACAAAAATCCAGCAGAAGGAAACCATAGCTGTATTCCTTCCTTAGAACATTATGGATCATAACGGTAATAAGCAGAAAAACTCCAATCCCAACATGCAATATCAAAATCAATGATACCACCCTCAAGCTAGTACAACATTTTAAATATTTGGGGACCATTATATCATCAGATGGTATATGTCACACCGAAATTAAAAGCCGCATTTGCCAAGCAAAAGCAGCCCGTCCACAAAATGAAACAGATACTAACAAACATCAATCTGTCACTGGAAACGAGGAAAAGAGTACTGAAAAGTTACATCGAGCCAATCCTATTATACGGGCGCGAAGCGTGGACAATCAATAAACAGCTGGAAAGAACAATTGTAGCGACAGAGTTGTGGTTCATAAGACGCATGCTACGTATCCCATGGACAGCTAGAAAAACAAATGAAGAAGTCCTGGTTGAAGCAAATTATAGAAAACAACTTATCACGAATATAAGAAAACGACAGGCAAATTTCTTCGGACACACAATGCGGAAAGAAGCATTAGAGAATATTGTAACAACTGGAAAGTTAGAAGGAAAGAGAGGCAGAGGCAGACAGAGGGAAAAGATACTGGACAAGATGACAACATGGTTGGGAGCAACAAGAACAACAGACACCATCGCTGCAACGTAGGACAAGGTGAAGTGGAGGTCCATGATCGCCCACGCCAGTCGGCAAGGCACAGGGTTATGATGATGATGATGATGAAAGTCCAAACTCTATGCTGTCGACATTCATTGCTATTTAAACTGCCCTCTCTAAATCGAAAAAACGGCTAAATCGAAAAATGATTTAACCGAAAAATAAATCCTAAGGCACTTGAATCCATCTCTAAGTAAGGTTATCAACATACTGCACTCACTGAAAAAATAGAAAACAAAAGGGACAGAGACAGTCAATGTACTATTAAAATCTTCAACCAATTATGGGTGACGTGACAAGACTAAGATAATGTAGGGTTGAGGTTCCACTCAAACTCACTTTTTGCGCACTGGATGATTGGCTGGCAGTATGACCCCACTCTCATCTAAAAATCGTTCAGGCATGAACTTCCAGGGATCGTCCCATAAATCAGGGCGATGATGGAGGAGCCACTGATTCGCCAGGAACTGGAAAAAAAAGTGACAATTTTAAAATAACATTGAAACATTTATAGAAACCTTTTATAAGGAATTGTATCCATATTGTGAGGCAGCGTGGTGGAATCAGGCTCTCGTCAAAATAATCAAACTGAAGAAACTTGCATTTTTTCCCAGGTTTGTGAATATTTCTGTCCCCGTAGGATTATGCGATTGTGCGGCCGCGTTTTTTCGCGTAATTCTGCAACATTTGCATAATTTTAGATTCTCCGCGTTTTTTCACGTCTTTCCTTTTTTTTCCACCAAACGATTAATTAACGCCTCGCCATGTGACTAAAGGGACGTAATCACCGTAATAAGTTTCATTTAAGTGAAAAGTTGGCTATTTCCCTTGTTAGAAGATCTTTTTTATGGGTTGTGAATTTGTTTCTTGAACTGTCATGTTCAGTTTTTCAATCCATCAAAAGTTGTTGTCTCATGTCTGCTGATGTTTCATGTTTGACAGGTGTCCCTGGTTTTAGTAATATGCCAGCATTAGAGTTAGAGGTCCAGATGTGCTTTTTTAAAAAAAAGTATTTTTCTTTCCTCTATAGATCTAGTTATACAGCTTAAAGTTACAGAGATTATATTTTTTGGTTGTTTTTTTTTCTTTGTTTATTTTTTTTACTGAAGTGTATTGTTTTCTTTTCCGAATACACAACAAATTACTGATACTGATATGCTCTGTTTTCAATTTTCTGTACATAAAACATGAAAATTATGAAACTTCGCGTTGAAAAAGTGCAAAACATGTCGCGAATGGTGTTACGGTAACTTGCATAATTTTTGCATAATTTTGCTTTTTTGTGCATAATTTGGCCTTCTAAATTTGCATAATTCTACGGGGACAGATTTTTATCAAATTTTTGTTTTTTGGCTCAACATCTTTCATGGCCTTTAAAGAGCTCGTTCTTGTGTGGATTTTTCGGAAAAAAAGGTTGATTAAAGGCACAAAACATGTACATTTTCAGTTACCACGGACTCTTAAGCTAAGGAAATAACTAATCTTTGGCAGCCATTTTCTCACAAATTTTACCTCTGAAAACAGGTGACCCCACCTCCTTCAATGACAAATATCTCGACTTGTATTCAAGGTAAATGGATTTATTTTTCATCCACAAAAAGGCAAGTGAACAAGCTTTAAGATGATACCAATAACCCTACATGCCCAAAAATTGACGAGAGCCTGATTCCACCGTGCTGCCTCACCGTATATTATACGGTCAAAAAGCAAGTTGACAGATGCATCCACCTTTTCGAAAAGTGCAAATGTTCACTGTTTCTTCATACAAAACAAAATGTGATACCCTTAGAGTTCGGGGAAAGTCAACATGTACATTATTTTATCTTGTATTCTTTGAGAGCCAAACATTCAAAATATCCTGAGGACTAACAAATTCAAGAAACAGACCCGGTCAATGTATATTGTGCATTTACTCGCAAGAGCATCTGACTTCTGCAAAACGTTTTGTTTTGTTTGTTTGTTTGTTTGTCTGTTTATGTTTGTTGTGGGTTTGTATTTATTTGTATTTATTTGTTAAAATCTTTTTATTTATTTGGGCGGGGGGAGGGGGGGGTTCTATGGGCGCATCATTCTCCTAAAGTAGGTAATTCCATAAAAATTAAACTGCCGTGACACACCAATCGCAGACCTACTGGAATAAAATGATTATAAGCAAAGGTAGAGCTATTCGTTTTGTTGCTGTTGTTGTTGCTGTT